CTCCTCCAGATTGTTCATCCAGCCTGTCCTATCCAGACAGACCTGCGGAGACAACAACATGCACAAAAACAAGACAGAGCAAAACCAAGCAACAATGGGCTGTACTCTTTATGGAAAAAGACAACACCAGCTCCCATGGACTAGCTGGTGGTTCTGAACCGCCAGATTCTGGTTAGCAGCCAAGGACTTTAACCACTGTGCAACCTGGGTTCCTTGGTCATTTATGAGTCTGAACTCCAAAAGGCACCAATTCACACTGACAGGAAGCTGGGGAATGCTTGAGGTACAGGCAGTTCCCCGATTATCAAGTCCTATTCCTAAATTTGTCTCTTATTAGAGTTTGTACATTAAGTCAGAATAGCTACGTATGGTTTGTTAATCAAATGTTTGTCTTCTATGCATAGAAAACATTAAAGAAACATTTCTAGATACATTAAAACATCTTTAATAGTAACATTTTAATGAATCTTGCACAGTATCACCCATTGGTTATTGCAAACCATTGCATGTACCTAGGATTCTAAAAGGCTTTACAAAGGGTTGGTTTGTAACTGTGGTTGAGTGTAAATTGGGCATTTGTAACGCAGGGACTGCTTGTAGTTACATAGTAACATCTTAAGAGGGTCATGAAAACTGTTAAAGGATACAGACCAAGATCTTAACCTGGTTATGACCAGGTAGCAAAGATTACGGGCAGCCCCCACCCCCTTTTTCTATATTTTCTGATTCCTACATCATTTACATAACACAACATAATTTAGGAATTATGCCAACTACACTAGATATGGTCCTACCCTGGGGCCCTTGCTCTTGTGGTCTCTCTGTCTAGAAAACTCTCCCCAGATACCTGAGTCAGGCTCCCTCACCCTCCTTAGGTCTTTGGTCAAATACCACATCTCTGCCAGGATCATGGAATCTCCGAGACATTTCTGTTGGGTTAGACAGTCAACTACTTAAACACAAGCTGTGTTAAACCGCCCCCTCCCCCCCGCCCCCTCGACACACACACAAATGAACCAAAGAGCCAAGGTCAGGTTCAACTTATTCTAGGTTGGCATTTGGAGCAGGGGAGCCCTGATGGGAAAGTGGGCTGTGTTGGGCTGCTAACCGAAAGGTTGGCAGTTCAAACCCAACAGCCTCTTCGTGGAAGGAGGAGGAGGCTGTCTCCGCTGGTGAGGACTTAGTCTGGGGACTCTAAGGGGAAGTTCTACTCTGTCCTATAGCGTTGCTAAGAGTCGGAGTGGACGCAATGGCAGGGTTCTGGTTTACTTGGAATAGTAATTAAACCCCACAGAGGACAGCCAAGTCAGTGTTTTGCTGTTTTTGCAATACTGGCATTACTGGTGATTTAATTTTGATTCCAATTGTAAAAGGGTGTCAGAAACAAGTTAACCAATGTATTCCAAGGGCGCC